GGGGTTCAACCTCATGAGAAGTCGGTCATAGTCCGACGAAACAGTCTGGCACGGTTATGCGTTTTTTAGTGTACAACGAATATGACAACACACACACACACACACATACACACACACACACACAGACGGGGGCGTATGATTGTGCCAGACTGTTGAACCCCAACAGTCTGGCACAATCATGCACCCCCGTCTGTGTGTGTGTGTGTGTGTATGTGTGTGTGTGTGTGTGTGTGTGTTTGTTATAAAATATCACCACACACACACACACACACACACACACACACATACAGGGGCATCCTGGCCAGACTGTCGGGGTTGAACCTCATGAGAAGTCGGTCACAGTCTGACGAAACAGTCTGGCACAATCATGCTTTTTTGAGTGTACAGCGAATASGACAACACACACACACACACACACACACATCATCACACACACACACACACACACACACACCTGCATCCTGGCCAGACTATCGGGGTTCAACCTCATGAGAAGTCGGTGACAGTCCGACGAAACAGTCAGGCACAGTCATGCTTTTTTGAGTGTACAGACAGTACACCGAATATGACCACACACACACTCACACATCTCCCCTGCATCCTGGCCACACTGTCGGTGTTCAACCACATGAGAAGTCGGTGACAGTCTGGCACAGTCATGATTTTTTGAGTGTACAGCGAATATGACAACACACACACACACACACACACACACACACATACGCGGAGGCACACACATAGACAGACACACACACACATAGACAGCCCCCACTCCACCAAGATGAGCAGATTCGAAATGAAATAACAGTCAATGAAGCAACCCCTCTAACAGACAACGAAAGCCCTTGAGTTCGGACAACCTGACAATGAAACAGTTTCGCCAGTGGGAACATCAAGCACAATGGGAGCATGAACGTGAAACACAATGGGGTCTCTCTCTCTCTCTCTCTCTCTCTCTCTCTCTCTCTCTCTCTCTCTCTCTCTCTCTTAGTGACTCTCGCCCTGTGTCTCTGTCTCCGCAGCAGGCTCCGTCCTCCTCTAATTCCTTTGCAACGGTGCACTCTCATGGGAGTCATCATCTGACTCCTCTGCTGCTGGTGCTCCTACTGCTGCTGCTGCTGCTGCTGCCGCTTCCAGTGGTTTCTCTTTTCGTGGCCGCCCTCTCGGACGCCCTGAGCCTCGTGCAACCCCATCGGTGCCTTGAGCAACCACATGAGTATGCCCTCTCCCACGTCCAGCAGCCGCCTTCCCTCGTCCTCGCGGAGCACGATAAGCGAGGGGATCCCACACGCAACCGGGATGTGCTCCATGCCGCCCAACGAGAGGCGACCACTGAGAAGAACCGTAAAATCCTCGCACCTCGCGGCGACCCTGCTCGCCCTCTGCCTCACCCTCCTTGTGCACATCTCTGGACGACTGCACTGCGGTCTCCTGCTGGACTGCGGGATCCACCCTCTACTGCTGCTGCTCCTTCTCCCTCTGCTGCGGCTGCTCCTCATCCGTCTCATGCTGCTGTTGCTCCTCATCCCCTCGCTGTTGTTGCTGCTCCTCATCCCCTTGCCCACGCTGCTGCTCCTGCTGCTGCTCCTGTTGCTGCTCTTGCTGCTCAACCTGCTCGTGCTGCTGCTGCTGCTGCTCAACCTGCTCCTGCTGCTGCTGCTGCTGCTGCTGCTGCTGCTCCCCCTGCTGCGCCTCTCGCCGCGCCCGCGTCTGGGACCTCAATCCAGATCGTGTGCCTTCAACATAGGCGACCATGCCCTCTCTCCTCGTCCACGATCTGTCTGAGTCCGATCTCTCGTCCACCCACTCCTCGTCGGGGACATCGTCGTCCTCGTCCTCATCGGCCTCATCCTCATCCTCCTCCTCCACCTGCACTAACCTCTGCACCGATCTCGAAGTGGACGATGTTGTGGGATCGGGGCTAATGTTTGTGCTGCCCACCGCAGAAGCAGTGCCCTCACCAACTGCCTCAATGTCATCAACTGCCTCTGTGACATTTCCCATGTCACCCTCCAAGTCCTCGTCCTCCCAGCCGGCTGCGAGCCCCAACCACCCTCCTGCAACAGTGGCCCCATCCTACTCTTGAGCCTCAAGCTCCAGTGCGCGGCCACCAATTTCTTGGTGCGCTGGTGGTGCAACTTGTTCCTCGACTTCGTCTGCACGAGAGCCCAAGTGCTCCAGTTCCTCTCAGCCGGAGAGGAAGTCGTTCAGATGGAGAGCACCTTCAGCGCCAACTCTCGGATCTTTGGATGCCCTGCACCATGCGCCTCCCACTATAGCACCACATTGTCCTTCTCAGCCCGTTTCTTTGACTGCGGGGTGCCAAAGACTCCTCTCCCAAACTGGAACTCGTACAACTGGTCCATGCAGTCGTCAAATCTCGAGCTCCCACTCTTCCCGATCAGCCGCTCCACAACGCTATCGAACTGTGTCATGAGGTCGACATTACTGGAAACAGTAATGTCCCTCAATATAGGATCCAGCAGACGTGCAACGACGTGGATGGGGCTGAGCAGCATGTCTGTCCTCTTGCTGACATCCCTGACACGCCATACTATAGATGCGTGAAAGTGGACATCTTTGTCCACCTCTCGCAACACATCATAAGGCCCCTTCATGACGGCAGTCAACTTCTTGACATCAGCCCAGAATGCTTTGTCAAGAACTGTCTCCTCCACGAAGTAGGCCTTCGCCCTAATATCCCCTTGCCACAACATGGTCTCCCAACCGTGTCCGGTGATGATACACACGATGGCCCTCTCGCACACCTCAAGTCGCTGCAGCATCACATAGTTTGTCCCGAACCTTGTATGAGCAAGCCGAAGGAGGCAGGTGCATTTCAAGTCAGGGTACTTCAACAGTTGCGTCTTCAACTGCGACCGAGGCCACTTGTGAACCCGGAAGAAGTTCACTATTTTGTTGGCCTTGGTGATGATCTCATCCGCCCACTCCTTCTTACCTATATCGTGCATCACGAGGTCCATGCAATGCGCTGTGCAAGGGATCCAATAGATCTGCGCGAACTCAGGGTCCTCCCTCAACATCCTCGCAACACTCGTGTTCCCGGCGAAAGAGTCAGTGCATATCGCCGTGATCTTCTCCACCCCCCACTCTCTGAAGAACTGCTTCCACCCGGCAACGACAGCTGCGGAGTCCTTGTCTCCCTCGCCTGTGAGGATGTAGTTCATAAGTGATCGCCCACAGATGTCTGTGGTGCCATCAGTTATGAACGTACAACCAGTCACCTGCCAGTCGTCACGGATCGCCTCCTCCTCATCCACCAACCTCTTGTTCAAACGATCGAGCAGGTGACACCTGAGGGGGTTATACCTAGTAGGCACGAGAGGATGACTCCCCACAGGCTGGGGTCCGATACACGTCAACATGAACTTCTTGAAGCTCCTGCTTCTGGCAGCGTTGAACGGTATGGCGTTCTCCACGAAGAACTCGCAGCAGGAGTCATCCATGTCCTCCTGCCTCGGGTTCTTTGCAAACCTCTTGATGCTCGTCTGCCTCGTCGGGCCATGTGTGCGCGCCCCCTGCACCATAACTTGCGAGGAACTGGCCCTCCCTGCAGTAGCAAGGCCGCCTGTCACAACATCCCTCGTCCCCTCATCCTCGCCGATGTTAACCTCCATGGTGTCCTCACCCGGTGCCGCCTCGGGATCCTCAGTGATCCCGCCTTCGCCCCCTTCTCCTCCACCCAGAACAGGAGTGTCCCCCTCGTCGCTCTTCTCCATCTCCAACGCGCGCTGCACCCTCTCATGCAAGTCCGGTGGCAGTTGTACACCGATGCCATGCAGCCTCCTCCAAATCGACAGGTTCGAATGTGGACACCTGGCAGACGCCCTCGCCAAAATGAAGTGCTCCCACGCACACTTCCGATTACCGGAGTACTCCTTGTTGCAGAGTTTGCACCGCAGTCTTCTCGACCCATGAGCATTGCCTGACAGCATCTGCCCAGGAGAGACCCAAGTCCACATGACGTGGTCCCTACTGCAGGTCATGTCCTCCCGGAACGGCTCCCGTTGCTCCCCTGCCATGACACCGGTGATGCTGCAGAGTCAGTGCGGGGTTGCTGCTGAAGTGGTTGCTGCTGACGTGGCTGCTGCTTTTGATGCTGTTGCGGAAGCTGGCACTGGAAGGTGCAATGGCTGCTGCTGCTGAAGCGGTTGTTGCGGCTGCTGCTGAAGCGGTTGCTGCTGCTGCTGCTGAAGCGGTTGCTGCTCACGTGGCTGCTGTTGTCATGGTGGCTGCTGACATGGCATTGGAAGGTGCAGTGGCTTTTGATGTGGGTGCTGCAGCTGCTGCTGAAGCGGTTGCTGCTCACGTGGCTGCTGCTGTCGTGGCGGCTGCTGACGTGGCAGGTGCGGACGAAACACCTGCTGACGTGGCAGACGCTAACGATGCACCTGCGAGAACAAGGAACAAAAGAAATGTCAATTTCAATGGAGAATTAAAAAGGAAAAAAAA